CCATGCAATATCTACATCCCTTTCATCATAACCAATCTCCTATAAAACTCCACATAGACTAGTCACAAAGAGCAAAGGAGCAACGCACTTCCTTGCTTTGCTGTCTGGACCCTGCAGTGACCATTCGTTGAGAGACTTTAAAAGGAGTTATATAATTGTTCACTGATCATTGTGATTTGTATACATCTGTTATGGCCATATGGTTTATGTAGTTACTTGATTAGTTCTGCACAGCAACCTGATGCTTGAATTGTCCTGATGGGATAGTGTTAATGATCAGCCCTGAAATAGCAGCTGAAATTGGTGTGTAGTGGAACTGTGTAAAGTGCAGACTGCCTATGTCTAAGTTGATGTTTTGAAACTGGACATGGTGGCTCACCTCTGTAACTCCAACATTTGGGAAACTGAGGGGGCAGAAACAATGTGAGTTTAAGGTCAACTTGGACTACAAAGTGAGACTTTGTCTCAGATAGATAGGTGACCAATAGATAGATAGATAGATAGATAGATAGATAGATAGATAGATAGATAGATAGATAGATAGATAGAATAAAATGATGTTTTCATATATATGAAGGAAAATAGTTGAGGGGTAGTAAATGAGCCTTCTGGATACCTATTTTTTCTGTATCAATATATATGTCACCTTCAAACAGAACATTCCATTTAGAATTGGCCTTGTACACAAGTTTATTTGTTAATTTTTGTTTATTTTGTTCGTTTTTGAGATGGTCTCACTCTGTAGTTTTATCTGGCCTCAATCTTGTAATAATCCTCATGCTTCAGGCTGCTAAGTCAGGCACTACTTTAAAGGTGCAGCTAAAAGATTAAATGCTATCATTACTTTCTTGGTAAATACATTAGGCATTGATCTGGATTTCAGGTTCCTAGAGTGTTTTCAAGCCAGAGTTAGTGAAATGATTCAGTGGATAAAGGCACTTACCTAAAGTTCAATCCCCAGAATACACATAAAAGTGGAAAGAGAACCAACTACACAAAGAAGTCTCCCCTGACCTCTGTACACATGTAACACAAATGTACCCTTTATATATACATCATCCATACACAAACACAATAATAATAAAATTGAATTTAAGATTTCAAAGAGTACTTTCAAGTCAGGCTTGGGGATACAGGCATGTAATCACAACTACTGTGGAGACTGAAACAGGAGGGCATCATGTTCAAGGACAGCTTGGGCCATAGATTGAGTCCAGACCTGCTTGGAATGATTTAGCAAGTGTAACTGGAGGTTTCTCGTCCTGCCTGGTCCTGCAGCCACTCTTAAAATAACCACTCAGAGGCTTGATATTAATCACAAACTGATCAGCCTATTAGCTCAGGTTTATTATTAACTAGCTCTTACAAGTTAAATTAACTCATTTTTAACAGCCTATGTATTGTCACATGGGCATGGTGCTACCTCACATCTTGCTTCTCCTGTGGCTGCTTGCTTCTCCCTCGATTCCACCTTCCTTTTTCCTGTATTCAGTTTGGCTTTTCCACCCAGCTATATTCTTCCCTGCCATAGGCCAAAGCAGCTTCTTGATTAACCAATGGTGATAAAACATATTCACAGCATACAGAGGGGCAACCCACATAAAGCAAGCCCCTGTCTAAAATGAAGGATAAGGTCAATTATAATTCTATACAGTAGGGGATAAAACATCAAAAATTAAATGTTTATTTGTGACAGGATGTCACTATGTATCCCAGGTTGACTGTGAACTCGGGATCCTCCTGCCTCGACCTCTGAAGTACAGGCTTGTGTCACCATACCTACCTGTACTACCTTTTATTTATTTGCCTTGCTTTGTTGCCGCCTTCACTGTGGTATTAAATGGGGGTGACTGTAGGAAGCGCTTCATCTCATGGAGAAAACTATGAAGAATAGTTGTTGAACTGTGCAGATGCAGCCAGCACTTCCTTTTCAGAGCAGCTGCCAAGATGGCTGAAGTAGAGCAGCAGAAGTGAACCTTCTACAAGTCCACCTACTGCTGTGTGGACCTGGACCAACTGCTACACTTGTCCTATAAGCAGCTGATGTAGTTGTACAGGCCCTACAGATGTGGCACCTGAACCGTGACCTGTGCGGAAGCAGTATTCTCAACTCAAGCACCGGAGAAGGAGATGTCACCCAAGGCGAAACCCAAGGTGGTGAAGACCTACCTCAGAGACAGGACCATTCTGCCAGAAGATGGTTGGCAGCATGGTGGGCATGTACAATGGCAAGATCAGGTGGAAATCAAACCAGAGACAATTGGTCACTACCTGGGCAAGTTCTTTATCACCTCTAAATTAGTGAAGCAGGGCGGGCTTGGTATCAGTGCTACTCACTCCTCCTGCTTCATCCCCCTCAAGTAGCTGTGGCCAATGAAGACTCACATTTAGTTCCTGGTGTGTATTGGCGGGGGTGGGAGGATGATTGTGGTGCTGCAGAGATGGCTCAGTGGTTGAGAGCACTACTGCTCTTCCAGAGGACCCAGGTTCAATTCCCAGCATCCACATGGACTGCTCACAACTGTCTGAATTCGGTTCCAGGAGATCTGGCACCCTCAAAGACACATACATGTAGACAAAACGCCAATGCACATAAAATGAAAACAAACCTTTTTAAAAAAGAATGATTGTGGAACCAAAGATAACTTAATCAGTAAACTGCTTGCCACACCTAAATTGGAATCCTCAGTACCCACATAAGAAGTCACACATGATTGTGTGCACTTGGAACCCCAGCACTGTCAAGGCAGAAAGGTATGGATTCTTGGGGTGCAATGGCCAACCCAATCAGCAAGCCCATGGTCTCAGTCTGAGACTCTGTTACAAACAATAAGTTGGGTGACACCAGAAATCATCTTCCAGCCTTCATACATGCACATGTTCATGAACACACATGTGAACATATACATACAAAAGAATAAGTTTGTGGCTGGGGGGGATATGGCTTAGTGGTAGAAGTTACTGTGTGTGTGAGGCCCTAGGTTCAATCCTCCATCTAAAAATAGAGAGTGGTGTTTGCTCTGGGGTTTTTGTTTTGGTGGTGGTTGTTTTTATTATACAAGGTCTCACTCAGTATCAGAAGACTAGCACAAATCCCCGGTTGATCCCAAACACATCATCCACCTGCCTCTCCTCATGATTACAGATGCATGCTATAGGCCTAGGCTATGCTAGACTTTTTTAAAAATGGAGTCAATATTAGATTAGTCTGGCCTAAAGCTCACAATGTAGCCCAGCCAGGCCTCAATCTTCCTGCCTCACCCTCACACCTGGTAGGACTATAGGCATGAGCCACCATGGCCTGCTGCTCTAAGTTTTTACTAACATATTTTAATCAGACTCTTCTATTCCAAGTTACTAAAGGACTTTGTTATTCATGAATACTGGATTTTAACAAAAAGTTTTTGCAAATCTGTAAATGATCGTATAATTTTCCCATTTAATCTTCCAATGTAACAAATTATTATGATTCTGGTGTTTTATTAAACTTAGGTTGTAACTGGAGGTTCCTCTCCCACCTGCCAGTTCCCGAATATCCACTCTGAGGCTTGATATTAATTAGAAACTGGTTGACTGGTGACTCAGGATTTTTGCTAACTAGCTTTTACATCTTAAATGAACCCATTTCTATTATTTTATATTTTACATGAGGCTCATGGCTTGTTACCTCACATCTTGCTTCTCTGGGGGCTGCTGGTGCCTTCTTTTTCCCTGTATCTGGTTGGATTTCCCACCTAACTACATTCTGCCCTGCCATAGGCCAAAGTAGCTTTTTTTATTAACCAACTATAATGAAATATATTCACAGCATACAGAGGGACATCCCACATCATTAGGTTCTCTGGTTTCTTTCTTTCAAGACTAGTTTTTCTTACTCTGTAACCCAAGTCAGTCTCAAACTAGAAGCAACTCTCCTGCCCCAGCCTCCCAAATGCTGAGGTTAGAGGTGTGTGTAAGCCATCATTCCTAACTAACATTATGCTTCTGAAATAAACCCAATTTGGTTATAATATGTTATTTTTATGTCATGTGTATAAGTGTTATGCCTGCATGTGTGTCTGTGCACCACTTGAGTGTGTCTGGTGCTGAAAAGGCCTACAGAGGATGCAGATCCCCAGGGACTGGTGTCACACACAGTTATGGGCTATCATATAGGTGCTGGGAATGAACCTGGGTCCTCTGGATGAGCAACAAGTGCTCTTTACTGCTGAACCATCTCTCCAGTCCATGATGCGTTATTCTTTTCACATGTTCCTAGCTTTAATATTCTTCTCTTGCTTGGGACTTTTATATCTAAGTTCACAAATAAAAATTATCTTACTTTTCTCCTTTTTATTAACAAAAAAAATTGTTCTTTGACAATTTTATATATGTATATAATGCATTCTGGTTACTCTCCACCCTGTCATCTTCTCTTATTTCCTTTCTCTTTCCCATGTTTACTAGTTTTTGTTTTGTTTAGTGTCCTACAGAATTCAAGTAGGGTCATCTGTGTGATCCTGAGCTTAGCAGTTTGTATATAACTGGTGTTTTTGATCTTAGTCATTCTGACGGGTGTAAGATGGTATCTCACAGTTGTTTTGATTTGCATGTAAAAGAATGAAAATATATACATATCTATCCCCATGCACAAATGGATTAAAGACTTCAGTATAAATCTGACCACACTGAACCTGATAGAAGAGAAAGTGAGACGTAGCCTTCAATGCATGGGCACAGGAGACCACTTCCTAAATATAACACCAGTAGCACAGACACTGAGAGCAACAATAAACAAATGGGACCTCCTGAAACTGAGAATCTTCTGCAAAGCAAAGGACACAAATCAATAAGACAAAAAGGCAGCCTACTGAAAGACATTTTTTCAACTATGTTCATAGCAGCATTATTTGTAATAGCCAGAACCTGGAAACAACCTAGATACCCCTCAACCGAAGAATGTATTTAAAAAATGTGGTACATTTACACATTAGAGTAATCCAGTTTTATGAAAACCAGTCATTTCTTTTTCTTCTCCTGTAGGTTTAGAAATATCAGTTATTCAAGTGGTGGCTACAGTTCCGCACTGGTGTGGCTGCCATGAATCGAAGAAGAACTGGTGGCAGAGGCACCGCTCCTACCACGAAGATAAGTCACCAACCTCCGAGGCTGCTCATTGTGCATATCACTGCACCCTCCTGGGCCGACATCTGCCCCAACCTCTGTGAGGCCTTACAGAACTTCTTCTCCATCACCTGCAATTTGATGGGCCCCAGCCGCATGTCTCTGTTCAGCTTATACACAGTACAAAACCAGCATGAGTGTGTCCTCCCGTTTGTGGTAAGTCTATCTGCACTCATGGTGTCCCGAAAGCAAATGAGATTTCCGCAGCAGAGCCCGCGGTTGTTATCACTTAAAGTGAAAACCACATTGGTCCCTCGTTTCTAGTGGGCCCACAAGAACCAGAAGTCTTCCTGTGGGGGAGGGGGCCGGTGCTGCAAGAAGAAAGTCTCTGAGCTGGTAATTTGGGGGTTGAAAAAGGCTGCATACCACCCCTCTACTCCAGGAGAGAGGAGAGACCTTTGCAGCTGCAGTTCCTTGGAATGTAAACAGCTGGATCCTTTTGCCCTCTTTGAAATGTAAACACTTAGAGAAGTTTCTAAATCTCTTCAGAGGTCTGGGTATTCAGTCACTCTCTTTCTCCAGAATTTGTCCTGGGGCGAAAACCAAGGCCCTAATTCTCTTTGCTCAGAAAATCCTAACCGCAAAACAGAAACTATTTTACCTGTACTACACTCGGGTGAAACTTTAATTCCTTCAGGTAAAACACCACTTAAGGATTTAGAAGTGACTGAGGCAGGGACCATTATCTTTACAAAGCTCCCTCACAATTAACTACTCTCCTCCTCAAAGAAAATTCAAGTCTTTCTGTTCTCTTAGACAGAATTCAAAATCACATCATAATTCAAAATTACAAAAGTCTTCTTTGAGTCATTCTTGCTGCTAATTCAGTGGACATAGATTCTGTCTTTAAGGTAACCGAAGGAAGGAATTTCACAGATTTGTTACAGATTGTGTGTGTAAGACTGAACTAAAATCCACTCGCTTTTTAATTAATGTCTCATTCTCCTCATTCAAAGTGGGAATATAATATCTCCTTCAGTACTATAAGGTGTTTGCCTTTGCTTTCTACTGCTGTAATCAAACACCATGACTAGAAACAACTTGGAGGGGTCGATGCAAAAACTACAGCTCTTGTCTTAAAGGGAATAAGATAGTTTAGTCACTTTGAGTGACCACAGTCAGGGAACACAAATTCAAGTTACCCCAAATTCCATGTTTCAATGTGGAAGCAGTTTTAGGAAGTTTTATAGGACAAGAAAAATTATAAATCAAGGCAAGTTTGATGGATTCATCTGAATGCGGTTACAGAAAGGTGGGGGAAACTTTACTACAGGCCCAAGAGTTATCTAATGACATTCTTAGTCTGAATTGGTAGAAGCTCGGTGGTCTGCTAAGTTAATAGATACTAAAGGCTTTACTCTATTAGTCATAAGATGTTAATTGCCACACAGAGGCAGGCAAGGAATGGTTTCCAGAGGGCTGGAACTAGTCCACAATAAGGTTATTAGCCTTTGGACTTGCAACATTCTGATCTCTATGCGGTACTGAAATTCTAACCAGTCAATCAGTCTCTGAAGACACAGCTTCTTCTCAGGAGTTCTTGTTCACAGAGGAAAAAAGTTTGTTGGACTCACATGTTCGGATCCCAGTTCATCCTGAAGGGAAGGAAGTCAGGGCAGGAACTCTAGGCAGGAACTGAAGTAGAAGCCATGAAGGGGTACTGCTTTCTGGGTTGCTCCTCAAGGCTTGCTCAGACTGCTTTGTTATACAAGCCAGGACCAAGCTGCCTAGGAATGGCACCATCCATAATGGGTGGGGCCCTTCCATGTCAACTGTCAATCAAGAAAATGTCCTACATGTCTACAGGCCAGTCTGATGGAGGCATTTTCTCAACTGAGCTTCCCTCTTCCAAGATTGCCCCAGCTTCTGTCAAATTGACAAAAATAAATAAATAAATAAAAAGGAAAGAAGGAAGGAAGGAAAAAAACCACTAACCAACACAATTGCCAGCTTTATATTTTATGCTTTTTGGGTTACAGCTTTGTAAAAATTTAAGATATCTGGATTACTTTGACTATACTTTGGGTTTATAGAACCCGGGTATTGTGTCTCAAAATGAATCCTACAGGGAAAGGTCTTTTGGGGTTTTGTTTGTTTGTTTGTTTTTTGGGGGGTGTTGCTTTTAGTTTCTTAGACAGGGTTTCTCTGTGTAACCACAATGACTGTCCTGGAACTCGCTTAGGAAGGCCAGCTGGCGTAGAACTCACAGAGATCCACCTACCTCAGTCTCCAAGATTAAAGGTGTGAGCTACCACCACCCCGTCAGGGAAAGGATTTTATGTAAACACTCTGAGTAATTAGTCTGTACATTGTTGTTTCAGCTGAATTGGGATAGGAAATCATTAAAATTAATTAAGGGGATGCTGGAGAGATGGCTCAGTGGTTAAGAGCACTGCCTGCTCTTCCAGCGGTCCTGAGTTCAATTCCTAGCAACCACATGGTGGCTCACAGTCATCTGTAATGAGGTCTGGTGCCCTCTTCTGGTCTGCAGGCATACATGCAGACAGAACACTATACATAATAAATAAATACATCTTTTAAAAAATTAAATTAAATTAAATTAAGGAGTTCAGCTGATACTTTCTACAAGTTGAGTAGAATTTGGTTCCTCAGATCATTAACTTTTTCTGCCAGATTATACTAAAATGTGGTGTCTTAACATAATAAACATTTATTATCTCATGATTATTGTGAATTAAAAAATACATAAGCAGTTCATGTAGGTAGCTCAGGCATGGAGAGTCTCAGGAGGTTGTTTTAAATATGGCAGCCATGATTGTAGTCTTCTGAAAGCTTGACTAGAGCAGGAGGAGCAGGTTCTAAAGCAGAACACTCAGATGAAAATTAGAAGTTCATGTTTCCTCACCACCTGGATCTCTCCATAGAGTTATTTGCATGGTCTCATTTTAGCTCTTCCGCAAGCAGTTGAGAGAACGAGAAAGAGAGAGAGAGAGAGGAGAGAGGATATGTTTTATGTTCTGGCCACCAAAAGTTCGCTTCTTCCACATTCCATTCATCCGAAACAAGTCATTGTTCCACCCAGGCAAAGCAACAAGGACCAGATGTACCTGCTTGCCTGAAATAACCGAAAAGAAACACGTGACGAGGGGCTGCAGAGATAGTTCACAGTTAAGGAGCTTGCCTGCATGAGCGTGAGACCTGAGTTCAAGGGCCTGTTTTGAGCATGGGCACACACAGTTAAAGCTGGCCCTGCTGGCTCAAGGATGAGGACCTGAGCCCTGAGTAAAGAGCTGGGTGTGGTGTGTGCTTGTTACCCCAGCGCTGGAGAGGCAGAGACAGGAGGGTTCCTGGTGCTCTGAGACCCGGGCTCAACAGAATAAAATAAAAAGGAGATGGCTCCTATAATGACGAATCTTGGTTGTCAACTTGACACACCTGGGAAGAAGAAACCTTAACGGCAGAATTGCCTCCCTCAGATTGGCATGTGGGAGCATTTTCTTGATTGCTAACTGATGTAGGAAGACCTAGCCTCCTGTGGACAGTGCCTCCCTGGACTGCATAAGCCAGTCAGGTAGCTGAGCAAGTCAGTGGGCGGCACTCCTCCAAGGCCTTCTCTTCAGTTCCTGAGTTCCCGCCCCAGCTTCCCTCCAAGGCCTTCACTTCAGTTCCTGAGTTCCTGCCCCAGCTTCCCTCCAAGGCCTTCTCTTCAGTTCCTGAGTTCCTGCCCCAGCTTCCCTCAGGGCTGGACCATAAGCTATAAATTAAAATAACCCTTTCCTCCCTCGAGTCGTGATGTTTATCACAACAACAAAAAGCAAACTAGGACAGTGTCTGAGGCGTGACACTGGAGGTTGACCTCTGACCTCCACACACGCGGGCACACACACACTTCTCAGGACACTGTACTCATCACGTAGTACAATAAGGGGAACCTTGGGCTGTCACAGTCTACTCCCTTAAGTGTCCAAGCCTCAGCACAGAAGAGGAAACCAGGCAGGTGCCAGCCGTCCTCTTGGGTCTAGAAGTGGGCTCTGGGGCTTCAAAGAGACCAAGGTAGCTAGAGGAGAAGAACTATATATGGGAAAGGAAAGAGAATTCCCGTTTTCCCTTTTAAAGGAAGCTCTTTAAGGAGCTATATAAATCAGTCAAGTTGCAGGCAAGAACAGATGGCATACCCAAGCTGAAAAATTTTCAGAGATACAGAAAGAGAATATTTGCAGAAGTGAAGGTAGAATCAACAAAAGATAGTGCATCAGCCAGGCCACCCAAGATTAGAGAGAGCTGCCTTGTAGGATCTCTGACCTTTGTTAAAGAAAACTTAGTGACTCTTGTTAAAGCTACATAGATTTTATTCAGGACCACTGCAGTAGGTTCGAGGACCTTGACAATGGAATTTTGCTGTGGAGGAGAGTCTGAGCTCACCTAAGTACAGCAATGGTAAGTGGGGCTCCTGCAGGTAAATCCCCAGGTAGTCCCTCCCATTGGACAGGCCTTTTTAGAAGCAGGGCTGTGAGGAAACACTTGGAGGAAGTGCCTCCAAGGATACAGAACCAGGGAGAGAAAAGTGGACAGTGATCTGGAAGGCAAACAAAAACTTCCCGGTATCGAGTGCTGCGATAATTTTTCTTCAGGTGGCCATTTTTACATCAATTGATCGCTTAATCCCTCCATTAGGAAAGGCAGGCAGTTTTATACTAGAAACCATGAAGTAGTCAGGTGTTTCACTAAGCTGGGAAACAGAGCTGATCTGCCAGATGCCAAGGGGACCAACAAACCACAGGAAAGCATTAAGGCTATAATTGCCTCCTGAAAATGAATAGCCAAGAGTGTAACCTGGGCAAAGTGCCTGCTCCCCCATTCCGATTGCTGTTGGTGCTGCTGGTGGTAAATGTTGATTTCATTCCTTTGTTTATTTAAATTGATGTTACTCTGTCAATCAGCCTGGTCTGGGGATCACTATCTGACTCGAGCTGGTTTCAAATTTGTGACAATTCCTCCAATTTAGTCTACTGACTGCTAGGATTACAGGTGGGAATAATCCACACCCAGTTTTTCCATTTTTCTCTGAAGGGTTGAGAGATGAATGCATTGGCACAGATCAGGCTCACTGTCGAATGAACCCCAGACAAAACTCTTTGGTGGTCTTATCAACCTGGGGTTAGAGAAAGCAAAGAGGGAGGGCTAGCAGTAGAAAAGAACCAAGTCAGGCTAGAGGAAAGTGTATTCGTTTCCCTGTTTCTCTCAGAAGTCTTGACAGATGCCCTTGAGGAAAATGTAGCTGTAGGCCTCAGAGACCTAGGAATATAGGTGTCAGGGCGAGGGAGACAAATCTCCCAAGAACAGCCTGTGCCAGGGCAGCCTGTGTCCTTGGTCACATCCTTCAGGGAATTGACTGTATAACAGATCCAGTGTGGAAATTGCTCTTTCTCTTCCACCACTACCCCATAAAACCTGCCAGGTAGAGCCTTTTCATTGCCCATAGTAGTCAGTCCTGAAACATACACATACACACACACACACACACACACACACTTAGGACTCCCCACCAGTACTCAGGAAAGATGACAAGTCAGAATTTCCTCCCTGGAGAACAATAAACTCAATACTAGTTAGAAACTTAAGAAAATTGCTGGACCGATGCGACCACATGATGTCTACCAACAATCCAGTCTACAGGGAAACAGGCCCTTAATCCCATTGTCACTGCACAATAAAGGCTGACATTTCCTGTCGGCAGGGAAACCTCAAAATGTAAATGCAGAAAAATACTGTATGGGGGATCATATCCGGGACAGACCCAAGATTACCCCTCGCATTTAATTTTTTAGTATCATTAAATAATTCTGAACCTTTTATAAGGAATAATGACACAGAATTCATAATTAAAATATTAGAATTCCTTTCATAGCCATTGTGACATGAATATAAATAATTCTAACCCAGATGATTAATTTCCCTCCCAAAGAAGGATTCCAGAAGAATGTCCTTATAGTGAAACTCTTCCTAATTCCTTTAAAATTTTCATTATAAAGAATTATTGAAATTATGCATTGTCTACAAATGAGGTATTAGGGTTCAGAATGCTCTGGTCTGCCTATACTGCTTACTTTGTCATGCTTAGTAGCTGGCATTTGGTCATGTCAAGCAGCAGATAAGGGTACGTACTAAGAAGAGACGCAGTGGATGAGTGTAACTGAGAGCAGCAGGAAAGGGAGGAGAAGGCAAGGAATTAATACTGCTAGAGAGACGATTTAAAGGAACCAGGTAAACATGGAGTTCTGAAGATAGAAACTACAACAGGTTCAAATCTCCCTAGTGTGCCAAGAAAAGCGGATATAAAAGGGAAAATAAAGTACACAGTGCAGTGATTTTTCTAAAAGCTATGAAACAAAGTGTTGAGGCTGGAGAGACGGCTCACAAGATAAGAGCATGCACTGCTCTTTCAGAGGACCCGAGTTCAATTGCCAGACTTCAGTTCAGGGAATCTAACGTTCTTTTTGTTGTTTTGATTTTTCAGGACACGGTTTCTTTGTGTAGCCCTGGAACTCACTCTGTAGACCAGGCTGGCCTTGAACCCAGAAATACACTAGCCTCTGCCTACCAAGTGCTGGGATTAAAGGGGTGTACCACCACTCCCTGGTTTAGGAGGAAAGCTCCTTACTGACTTGTTCCCCATTGCTTGCTCAGTCTAATTTCTTACACGACTCAGAGATACCAGTCCAGGGTTGGCACAGCCCATAGGAGGCTAGGCCCTCCTACATCAATCGTTAATCAAGAAAATACCACACAGACAAGCTAATAGAGCAGTCTGAGGGAAGCAATTCCTCTATTGTGGTTTCTTCTTCCCAGGTAACTCAAGTATGTGTTGATTTGACAGAGGCTAGCCAGCATACTGGGTTACTAAAGATTTGTGTCTTTGATTCCTTTTTCTCTGCAGCAAGTGAGAGGGAACTTTGTTAGGTTGCAGACCTGCATCTCAGAGCTGCGCACGCTTCAGGTAGAAGGTTGTTACAGACCCCATCATACCTTACTGCCACTGGCTGTAGAGGATGGGCTCCAACAGTTCAAACAGTTCAGCAGATACATGGCCACCAGTGCTACTACTCAGCCCAGTACTTCCCTGGAGGTAAGTGATGCTGCCTTTAGGGCACTAAGCCATTTCCCCATTTCCATCTGTGTAGGTGTTTCATATTTATTATCCTTATGTTGTTCTGTTTCATAGACATTGGATGTAATTTCAAGGTTAAATGTTCAGCTACCTGCAAGTAAAATATTATTTCCCTTTCCCATAACGAATTCAGTTCTTTTTTTCTTTTCTCCTCAGTACTTTATCCTTTTTTTCTGTGCATGTGCATATGCACACGCACACACATGCATGTGTGTGTGTGTTTGTGTGTTGTGTTATGTGTGTGTTGGATACTCAGACCTGGAGTTATATGCAGTTGTAAGTTGCCCAGAAAAGCACTAGGAACTGTTTAGCATGAATAATAAAAATCCAGAGAAAGATATTGGGGTTCAACCTGAAGTTCAGAAAAGCAAAGCAGCAGCCAAACCACTAGAGAGCTCTTACTTCTATGAAATCTTCAGACTAAAAGAGAGCACGTTCCTGTCTCATCCTACCTTATATTCCTCTTTATTACTGGGATTAAAAGTGTGCTCCACCACTGCCCAGCCTCTGTGGTTAACTAGTGTTGCTGCTGGGATTAAAGGTGTGTGTCACCGCTGTCTGGCCAGTATGGCTGACTAGTGTGGCTATTTTGTGTTCTGTTCTTCAGGCAAGTTTTATTTATTAAAATAAATATCACTACATTTCCCCTTTTTAGTCTAAAATGATAAAGAAGGCTATAACTAATATAAGATAAACTATAAATGATAAGTACAATAATTATATACAATATATACAGGCAATAAATACATCAGCAATGTCTAGTCCATTTGCATTTGACGAATTCAGAGAAAATACTCCATATCTATCCTATCTTGGTGAGTCCAAAGTCTTGTACCTAATTTACTTTCTATCATAACTTGATTTCTGTGTCTGGTAAACAAGGAAAATTGTAACTGTAACTATCTAGTCTTCAACTCCCTCAGAGACCCAAGAAGGAAATAATAGTAACTGAGTAAGCAGGAAGTGCAAGTAAGAAAGTTCCAAAAACTATGAGTAATGACAAAAACAGCTGTCTTCCTGGACAGTCACCCAAAGTTCCTCTGCAATGTTGGGGTATCCATCTTCGGCCTACAAGCCTAGCTTATCAACAGACTTTCTGTAAAGCAGAATATTCTGAAGGGCTCTCCCTCCTTGTCTTGACAGTGTTTGGTAGTCACTTTCTTTTGTGTCTTGCTTGTCCAATAAGGACAACATACTGTCAGCAGTCGAGGCAAGGGCACTTTCTTGCCCAATGGCTTACTTTTGCCACAAAGAAAGTAAACTCCATGTGTAGTTTCTTCAGTGCCCATTATCTTCTCTGAAGTGTATTGGTGCTGCCAGGAGCAGACATGTCTCATTGCCAAAAAAAAACAAAAAAACTATGTTATTAAAGCATTTTAAATGCCATATTCTGTAGATCTCTGAAATGTTTGAAGATAACCTGTCTATCTAAAATATATCTTTGTTTGACCTTGAAAACATACTTAATGGGGCTGGAAAGATGACTCAGCGGTTAAGAGCACTGCTTGTTCTTCCAAAGGTCCTGAGTTCAATTCCCAGCAACTACTTGGTGGCTCACAACCACCTGTAATGAGATCTGGTGCCCTCTTCTGACCTGTAGGCATACATGCAGACAGAATATGAGAATACTGTACACATAATAAATAAATAAATAACATACTTAATGTGACTACAAGTTCAATTATAATAGGTGATTAACTACTAATCTGCATTTCCTTATTATCCTAAACATCTGGTAATAATAATTTTCAAGACTAGAAATTTACATTACATTGTTAAATGAGTTATATAGGCACAATAGCTTGAACTAGAGTAGAAATGATGTACAGTATGTTCTAACAAAATAATAATATCAAATATACAAAATTTGTATACAATTTATATGCATAATTTATATATAAATTGTATAAAATCCAATCCAATATAAAACTAGTAATTACTTTTTAAAAGTAAATTCAATAATCTACCATTTTATCCTATCATATCTATATCCCCCTTTTTTCACAACAAGAGCTCTAAATCTAATCTCCTTTGTTCAACTTTCCTCCTAGCCATAATCAATAACAACTTGTAACCAAACTCCCTAAGTAATGCTAAATATCCATAACTCATTAAGCAACCAAAACCCACCACCCCACCTCTTGGGAATATAGGCATTGTATTTTTAAATTTACTTCCTGCTGTCTTGGGATGAAGGTATCTTTAGGAGATCCTGAACAGAAAAATTTGGGTTAATTGTCAAATCCTGGGAGAGGTAGCTGTATCATTTGCTGTCCAGTCTCTGCATAATGGAAAAGTGCAGGGCTTATCTCAAGTCCTGGCTAGAGCAGTCTGTGAGGCTGGATCATCTCAGGTAGCCACCTCAAAATTGTTCTGAGAAGTTTGTAGTCCAAAACCAATCTTTAAGTGGTGTTTTTCAGTTTAGTGGTATTATCATAGTCCTGGATGAATTGTCATTGTGAGGCTCCATCCTCTTTGGAGACTACAGAAGTCACTGTTAGACATGCTCATAGTTCACTGCAAAAGACTGATAGAAACTCAAACCTGAAATCATGTACAGGAAGGTAGATGAAACTTTTTTTCTAGAATTAGTTAGTACTCTATATGACCATTAATACCATGACTATATATATATATATATATATATATATATATATATATATATTCATTAAGACTTATATTTGTAAATATATATATAGCCTTAAGAAAAGCTGTTAAGGAGCTGATATAAAACCAAAGGATTATGAGATTTGTGGCAATAAAATAGTCCTTAAATATTTGTTTTTCTTCTGTCACATCAGATGACTCTTCTGACATGAGACAGATTTTGGCTTTCACTTTAATAAGCATGCTTGGGTTTAAAGAAGAGCCATACACCAACTCCAGAGTCAGCTTTGATCTTTAATTCGACTGGGAACACAGAAAGACCATTTGCATTATATGTCTGTAGAGAATAGAAGAAACAAACATTTGGGAGGATTTATGAAATTTTAACCTGTTGGAAATGTGATATAACAATAAGCCAATTACTCTTTTTCTTGAGACATTTTTTCTGAATGATTTGTTCTTTTTCTTCAGTTGTCTCATTTGTCCAGTGGTCTTCAGATTCCTTAGCTGGATACCTCTCTTCTCCTGAAAAGACAAAAACAAAACCCTTTCCCAACCCTAATTCTGGTTGAGATTCCCTTTTGACAAGTTATATTTGATCAAGTGAAAAGCCTTTATTAGTTTTATAGGTTAGTTTAGATTAAAGAATCATGCTGTTAGATGAACTATCATCTCTTCCCATTAAGAGGTTCTCTTGTTCAAATCGAATCTTTATCAATTTTGATAGTATCCATAACTTTTCTTCTCCTGTGGAAACAAAAGCAAAATCCCTTCCCCAATGTAATACATGTCCTGGTTTCCATTCTGAGGTCAGTACATCTTTAAAGTATATCGACTGACTTAATTCTGTAGTTTCTTTTCTACTGTCCAATGTTTCTCTGCAGCTGTTGTTCCCTTCTCATTAGCATTTAGAAAATTCAAAGTTAATAAAGCATTATTCAGTCTATTCCTATGGGTATTTATCATCCCTTTATGTTTATTTAACATATCCTTTACAGTTCAATTTGATCTTTCTATGACTGCCTGCCCTGTAGGATTTTGTGGTATACCTGTAATATGCTTTATATTATAATAAGCAAAAAGACTTTTATTTTCTTATAGACATATGCTGGAGCATTGTCTGTCTTTATTTGTACAGGTATACCCTTGATGGCCATAACTTCTAGCAAATGTGTGATTACCAGCTCAGCCTTTTTCTGACTCAAGGCATGTAATACAAGGGCTGGCTTGTTGGGGTTTCTGTCCTGCCCAGTTCCCACAGCCGTTATGCCCCAATGAAAATCACACAGAGAGTCTACATTAGATATAAACTGATTGGCTCATTAACTCAGGTTTTGTATTAGCTCTTATAACTTAATAAGATAATAATTAGCCCATTATTCTAGTATATGTTTGCCACATGGCTCGGTACCTTTTTCAGTGGAACAGGTCACATCTTGCTTCTTCCCTGATCTCGGCAGGGCTGCTGAGGGAGCTTCCTGCTTCCCAGAATTCTCCTATTCTCCTTGGCCACCTCTACTTCCTGTCTGGTTGTCCCACCTATACATCCTGCCTGGCTAATGGCCAATCAGCGTTTATTTAAAACATAATTGACAGAGTATAGAATTGTCCTATACCAAAGGCAGTTGCCCATTGAAAAACTGAATAAATATCAATGGTGAGGTACATATATTTTAGTTTTCCAAATTCTGCAAAATGGAACACATTCACCTGCCAGATTTCATTCCTTTGAGTACCCTTTGGGTTACTTCCTTCAGGTAGTAGTGTTTGGTTATATAAAGAACAAGTAGGACATTTCCTTATAATTTCCTTGCCTTGTTGCCATGCGATAGAAAAGTCTTTATGTAAACCTTTGCTATTGACATGATTTTTTTTAGTGAAATGTGGAGGCCTTCAGCACATTTCCAATCAATAATTGATTGATTTTGGCATTACCTTGTGTTAGAGGACCTGGCAGACAGACCCATATGGGATCAGATGTGTGTTATGTATATGGGATGATTCCTATTCCTAATTATATCTTGTAACTGAATAAATAATATAGTCAATTCTATATCCTCTGATATAAATTCAACAGTTTCAATATGCAAAACAATTCTTTCTGAATATTGTGAATCATTAACAATGTTGAGAGGTTCTTTAAAATTCCTTAGTACCATAAGAATAGCATCTAATTCTGACTTTTGAGCAGAATCATAAGGGCTTTGATCCATTTTACTTAAATTTTCTGATTTGTAATCTGCCTTTCCTGATTGATTTGCATAAGTATAGAATGTTGGGGCTCCAGTATTGGTGTGTTATGTACAAAGTGAGGAAGGATTCATTAGTTCTCTTTATAAGTTGAATTCTCT